ACATGTGTTAGTTTTGTGATGTTCTAGGCACATGTGTTAGTTTTGTGACGTTCTAGGCACATGTGTTAGTTTTGTGTTCAGACTGAATGTTGATGTTTTCAGTTGTTAAATTATATAAATGTCTGGAGGAGACGATTGGTTCTTGAAGCTGGGCGGATACACATATATATACACACACACACACACACTTTGTGTGTATATGTGTATATATGTATGTGTACGTGGGGGTGTGTAAAGTAATGGGTAGTTTGAAAAAACGGAGGCTACTTGGTCTAGTATTGGAGGTCCCGGATTTAAGCCCAGGGGAAGGCTCGGATTTTTTCACTTGGACTTCTGGTAATTCCCCCTGTTCTCTGGGTAGTAAGATTGGATGCCCTTGTGTATTTTTGCACACATAAAAAATACCTTGGCGGTTGGAAATAAATAAAAAAAGTGGCCTGGGCAAAATTTTGAGTTGAAAATCTATCCAAAGTATTTCAGGATCCTCACCGGTGCTATGGAGTTCGACCACTGCAATGAGTTTCCTTGGACTCAGGCTTCAGTCAGAAGTAGAACGAAGCACTTAAGGGTTACTACCCTTGTTCCATGATGTTGATCTGTCCTCTAAACCGAAACCTATTGGGTAATTAACTCTTTACAGACGTTTAGCCAGTATACTAGCGATTAAGTCTATCCCTTAAAGACGTATTGCCAGTATTCTGGATCATGATAGAGACACTAATTTTGTTCCGTTTGTAGGAAAAACAAACTTTTATAACAAAGTTTTTGAACAATTAGGATTAACAACAGGAAGTACTTTTCGTTTTTGATGTTAATCGCATCTGATGCACTTCTAGCATCTCACCGTCGGTGCATTTTCTGGATCTCACTGTCACCGTGTATAGTGGTCAGTGCGTTATTTTCTGAGTTAGAAAAAATTATTTAGATGGGATACAGTTTTTACATGATTTTTCTAAACTAAATGATAAGGGAAAAGGTCTAGAACTGTCCATACTGCTTTATTGTTGATGAATCTCTGCTAGATGGTGACAACAGTCTTGATATTATGATTGATATCTAAGGGACAAATGTGGCGCGGTGATTTATGTCACAGGCGTGAGGGGAAGTTAAGTCCAACATGATGTGTATAAGGAGATACTCCGTACGTCACTCGGGCGCCAGTCCTTCACTATCCTGGTTGTACGGAACCTCACGCAAGACCCCTACAGCACGTCCTCGTCGTGCGCCACGGATAATGTCTCAAATGAGCATTAACAGAGCTGTCAGGGGATCTCGGAGTTCGGCGGCCCCCAGAGGTGATGTGTCCTTGTGGCCCTCATCAGCCCGCCCCCAAACGCTTGGGTGAGAAATGTTATCAAAACTCATTAGGAACATGAGTAGGTTTGCCAAACATACAGCCAAAATTACAACCCTTGGTTAAAAGACTGCGGAGTAAAGAGAACATTGTTCACTGCACATCCTCGGTTAACCCTCAGTGTCGTCGTCACCGCGCTGAGGTACACCACAACAGCAACCATCCATAGGCTGACCATCCTTGTACATCCTCGGTTAACCCTCAGTGTCGTCGTCACCGCGCTGAGGTACACCACAACAGCAACCATCCATAGGCTGGCCATTCATGTACATCCTCGGTTAACCCTCAGTGTCGTCGTCACCGCGCTGAGGTACACCAAAACAGCAACCATCCATCGGATGGCTAAGCCTAAATGTCCGACAAAACTAGATCATACGGATCAAAATTTGTATTGAACTGAAAAAGACCGAATGTCCACACCCAAAGACCCCACTCGCCCGAGTGTAGGGACAAAACTGATAACGATATGCCTGATGCAGGATGTAAAATTCTATCGGGCTAGCGGCTCGTCAAAGAAATCTAACGTGCGAAGAAAAAAGAATGTACCTATCTGTGTGGTCACAAAAGTCCAAAACCCACGGGCTGCTCCCCGCTGACTTCCAGAGGGCACAGCCCCTGTCAAGCGGGAGGCCTGATACGGTTGTGAGGTTAAGCAGGCATGTGCAGGACGTGACGATTCCTTGGGTGAGCCCAGAACCAGAGCGCCATGTGCCGGCTCTGCATGCATGGAAGCCTCCTTGGATGGCGGGGAATGCCCATGATCTGCCCCTGCCTTCCCTTGAGGGCTCTGTTCCACAGGAGGCTGCCCCAAAGGGGTACTCCGTGGGCAATACCTGCGGCGAAGGAGACAAAGTGGACACCACACAAATCAGGCAACGTCTCGACCCACACTAAACAATGGCCACAGTCACCCTAGAAATAGGCCTGACGTCTTCCTTCGAAGTCGGAGTACAGCTGCCCATGAGGCAGGGAAATGAAAAACGGTTGTACACGCAAAAATCAGGTCCAGGTGAAAGCCAAAAGTCCAAGCGGACGATTAACCTGGACCTTCCACTGGAATTCACAGCCGGTGATCGATTAAAAAAAAAAAGATAAAAAAAAAAAAAAAAAAGGGACAAATCTACTAGCTATAATTTAGTTTAGGATATTAAAATTTCACAAAATATTTCAATCAGATCAAGGTTTCAATCAGCTGTTTTTCGTATTTTCAGTTGTGAAAACTGACATGTCATAGAAAAATGGCCATAACATCTAAAGTGTTTAAATTAATTGTTCAAATAAAGTCTAGCTGTTACATAATTGAACAGAGAAGGCATGTGCATTCTTAGAATTGGATTAGTAGTAGTGTTGTTGAACAAGTAAAAAATAAGGTAAGCACAACATTTTTTGTCATTTTTTTTCATATTTGTCTAACATCCTTGAATGTTGTGTGATTTTAATAATATTTTGTTGTTTTACTGATATTTAAATAGGTTAGATTTATACTGCACTCATTTATCTTTAATTTGATACATAATATGTCCCGATATAGCCAATATTTTTTTCCAGGATAGTTTTAGCTTTGTCGTGCCGCAGCAAAAAATTCTATACACTCCACCCTAGATAGAAGAGAACAGACTAAACAAGACAGGGTAACTATACACTCCACCGTAGGAAAGGACTGACTAAACAAGACAGAAAGGTCAACTATACACTCCACCGTAGAAGAGGACAGACTAATCAAGAAAGGGCAACTATACACTCCACCGTAGAAGAGGACAGACTAAAAAAGACAGGGTAACTATACACTCCACCGTATTATAGGACAGACTATGCACTCCAACGGTGGAGAACCGCCCTTTAGTACAGTGGAAAACTATCATCTTCAAACACGGAAAGGTGCCAACAAGAACAGTGTGTAAATGTGCAAAATTATTCACAGATCTGGCGAAGCACCAGCAATCAAATCAAAGTCAGCATTCTAAAAGCATGCATCTACCCTGCAGCAACATACGCATGTGAGTCTTGAATTTTTTCGCTATCTTTAAGGAATAAGTTCGGGACTTTTGAGCTGAAATGCAACAGAAAGATTCTTACAATATACAATAGCAGGAGTGTGGGTGCACAAGAAACCTACTGATATTCTAAAAGTTGTAAATGGAAGAAAACTGACTCGCAAACTGCATCTTGTTTGGTAGAAATGTGTTGGCCGTGTCAAAGGTGATGGTGGCTTGGAAAAAATAGTACTGGAGGTCATGGTACTGGGAATTATAGGCAGCGCCAAGATGGCCGCCGGATATCGGAGACACATTGGGCAGGTGGGAGAGCTGGCGAAAAATGAGTTTCTGTCAGACCGACTGTGACGGGAGCGACGTTCTGGAAGGCAACTGTTGCATGATGACGTGCTCTATTATTATGTACAACTACCATAAAAAAAAATTGATTATCAGTTCACCACGCAGGACTACAGGTTACGTCGTAACCGTTTTGTGGTGTTCCAGTATAACTGTCCTGTATGTTTGAACGGGTTCCCTAATGTGTACCGGCTTGATTCTCATCACTGAGATGTTAAATTGCACGAATGTAAATCATGGAGGGGGAGAGGAAAGGGTGAGGGGGAGTTGCAAGACTACACCCGAGACTGTCAATAGTCTCGAGGCTGCTTGCGGAGTGATTGGATTCTCTGAAACCTTCAAATAGAGCCGCAGTAGACAAGTGGCTACACGCTTATCCATCAACCCCTATGTCTCGGGTTTCATTCCACATCGTAACGAACTTGTATAAACATGATTATGACTCGAGGGGGTAAGGGGGGCCGGGGGCAGCAGTCTAGAATGGGTACTGTGATGGCAAGACAAGGCGGCCGGCGTGATGTTGACCTTAGTATTCTGGTCTTATACATTTTAAGTTCAACGTAGATACGTGTTTAGAACTTGGAAATTTAAACTGTCTCACACACACACACACACACACACACAAAGTAAAAAAAAAACATGCAGTAAATAGAAAAGATCAAATGGAAGCTGTTGCTTAAAAGCATTCATGAGCAAACTGCGATATCGGACATAAATGATTGTTGTGGGTGTAGATTTGCCTCAGTTCAGACGAGTGCATATAGTTCAAGTATGAACATTATTTGTTATTAGTATCAGCTTGGTTATTATTTGCCGATGAGAGGTTTATAGCAGGTCTGGGCAAACTATGGCCCGTAGACCAAAACTGGCCCCCCGAACAATTGTTACTGGCCCACGATGTCATTACTATATAATGGACATGACCGACTGTAGTACTAGAGACGGTCATGATAATGGGGACCTTGGTACAGTGATAATCGGAAACTGTTGTGAAATCTGGCCAATTTCTGCTAGCGAAACACGAGACTAAACATTCTAATGGCCTACGACCAGGTTGGTAATGCTAAATTTGACCAATTGTTTCTACCCACAACGCCAAATATGTCATTATGATAATGTTCTTTGCCACTTTTAGTTTTTTTCCCTTGAATAATTTGCTTCCCAATTATGACAACTTTACTGCTGTTGACCCCATGCCATTGTTAGTTGCGAGAATGGTGTGACATATAACGTCTTGTATAAAAAATGCTGAACAGCATCTTGAACTTCAAAACATCAGATGCATAAACGGTTGCTGCGAAGGCTGTATGTGTTCATCTATATCCGGTTATGTTCACTGTGTGTTCAATTGCTTTCCTCCTGAGCACTGCTATACTAGTACCTCTCCACGATTCTTCCATGTCTGCAAGGCCACATTGAAGAGATGGAGACGAGAATGTCGGAGATGGAGAGTTGTTTGACACACCACACGACGGAGGCGATACCATGGAATACCCCGTGTTGTAGCCAGAATTTGGGCTGTTGCCACCTATGCTTATACTGTTTGCGAAATTCATTGAGGAATGTTGCGTGCTCAAATTCATGGTCATGGGCGTTGCCATTGTTGACTGGATGCTTGTTCTGTGGCCCGCTGATGCAGCGGTTAGAGCCAGGGGGTTCATGTTGTTATTCATATGCATCATTCCGGGCCAGCGAGAGTCATGTGAGGGAAAGCTGTAGAAAGCGTCTCCGACACTGGCGAATGGGTTGATGCCGGTTGAGGGAAGCAGAGCTCCAGGGTTTCGGAAAATGGTGGTTGCCTTCTTCCGTTTCTTCCACTTGGCCCGCCTGTTCTGGAACCAGACCTGTGATAGTGAATAATATAGTAGTTGGGATTTACAAAAATAATCAAGAATTTGAAACAACAACACATAATTAAGACAAGGTACTTTAGAGATATGCAATGACATTACAAACACAGTTAAGACAAGGTACTCTGGACACAAGCGCTGACATTACAAACACAATTAAGACAAGGTACTTTGGAGACAAGCAATGAAATTACAAACACAATTAAGACAAGGTACTTTGAAGACAAGCAATGAAATTACAAACACAATTAAGACAAGGTACTTTGGAGACAAGCAATGAAATTAAAAACACAATTAAGACAAGGTACTTTGGAGACAAGCAATGAAATTACAAACACAATAAGACAAGGTACTCTGGAGACAAGCAATGACATTACAAACACAATAAGACTAGGTACTCTGGAGACAAGCAATGACATTACAAACACAATAAGACTAGGTACTCTGGAGACAAGCAATGACATTACAAACACAATAAGACAAGGTAATTTGGAGATATGCAATAACATAACAAACACAATAAGACAGGGTACTCTGGAGACATGCAATGACATTACAAACACAATAAGACAAGGTAATTTGGAGATATGCAATAACATAACAAACACAATAAGACAGGGTACTCTGGAGACATGCAATGACATTACAAACACAATAAGACAAGGTACTCTGGAGACATGCAATGACATTACAAACACAATAAGACAAGGTACTCTGGAGACAAGCAATGACATTACAAACACAATAAGACAAGGTACTCTGAAGACAAGAAATGACATTACAAGCAGAGATGTAGTTCTGCTAGGATATACCCGGACAAGCCTCGGTACTTTTGTTTTGTTTAACCCTGCCTCACAAAACTGACAATAATGTGTATTCTTCTACTACTTCTAGTTAGTTCGACGTTCGTCTCCCTAAACAAAGTAGGTCAGTTTTCATTGACAAGTTTGTTGGGCGGGTCCACTTTCCTGGAGGTGTGTCCCGCTCTTTTGTTTGGTTTCCTTAATGTCTTGCAACGTTTTAATTACGAGAAAGAGAATGCCCGTGACATAGGTTTCAGCACTCTCTAAAGGGGTTGTGTTAGACCCAGTGTGTCCAATTTTTTTGGAGTGTAAAAGCGCTGTCGTGTTGAAATATAAAACACGCGATATCAACGATATTGCGGAAAACCCCTGTCACTTTGCGGCAAGGTAACGTGGCCCAAGATCGACCAGTCAGAAGTAATCTAGGCTGAAGGTAAACCATCAGAAATAAGCTAGTGTGTAAGAGTGTGTAAATGGGGAGACAAACGTCGAACTAATCCTACTTCATTTGCGTTCGATCTTAGAAGGACGTTAAGCACGTTGTACTATAGTTGACAATTAGGCTGCGATATCGCTTGTCTCTTTAGGCCCAACACATCCGTTCAGCAAACCTGTAATTAGTCACGTTTCACGACGCTTCTTCAGTGGCAGTGGGTCCATTCTTTTCACCAGAAGAGTGGGACCCGAAACCCACACACGGGCAACGTTTTTTTTTCTTCTGTACAACACATTGTCCAACTTTAGGCACGTCATGGGGTTCTTTATTAATATTCTACCCCAGATGAAGTCACAGGACAGCCCAACATTTTAGAGGGTGTAAGATTGGGTTTCCCGGCTCTCTGATGCTTTTAACGACCCTAAAACATCTAGAACTGGCCCTAACCCCAACCCACCCATGCGCCACGAGAAAGTGCAGCCTAGCTCCCAAGACTGCATGCAGCCTAGGTCCTACGACTGCATGAAGCCTATCTACTACCCCCTGAAATATTAGACTGTCCCGTGACCTGTCGATTTCCCCTGTTTGGGGTACGATATTAATAAAGCACCTGCGATATAGAGAATCTTGAAAAGACAATTTGATGTTTGTTTCCAGCCATCTTTTACAGACACTAGACTGCATTGATGCTTGAGTCATTTGACTGTGAGTAGACCAGTGATTGTGGGAGTCGCCGTGGCAGAGCGGCTAGACGCTCGTCGCGTATCGGAAGGTCGTGGGTTCGCTCCCTGGCGGAGCCGGACTTTTTTCAAAAATGACCTTGGCTCCCAAGTCGACCCAGCCTTGAGTGGGTACCGGGTGCAGTCCCGGGAAGTAAAGGCGGTCGGGTGAATGCTGACCACATCACCCATCGTGTGCCGATTGGTCTATAAAATATAGGTAAAGTCCTATATGCCCTGTCGGCTCTGTGGCTAAGTCGATGCGAACGCTTCGCTTCGTAATGCCGGGATGCCGGGTTCGATCCCAGCTGCGGACAATGCGCCTTGTGTTGGTTTCGACAGTGGTATCAAGAAAGCCGACCGCCCAGTAGCAATGGCAAACTACTGGACGTAAATTCGCCTAGAGAAACCACACAACAGCCAGGGGCTGCTGTGGTTGGTTCTGCAACGTCCTGTAAAGGATACGCAACAACCTATATGCCCAAAGGCGTGGAAAAGGGTGCTTTAATTTTTTTTTAAAGCAGTGATTGTGGGTTTTTCGCCTTGACTGTTTTTAACGGCACGTTATTGTCTAGACGGAGGGGGGAGGGGGGGGGGGAAGATCATTGACTGAACAAACAACACTAATATTGACCGCGTTTAACAAAAATCACGTGCAGATCAAGACGTGCCTGTTTATCCCAATCGGCGTGAGTAACCAGCGACACGTGTAGCCAGTCTCAGCCTTCGGTAAACATTTTAACAAGCGAGAAAGTACTTCCGGTTCAACACACCCCCATGGCGTGCAAGACTCCCATTTATCAAGCCTAAACGAGACGGCGATATTGTAAAACGGATTACCAGCCCATGGTGGCGTATCAAATGAGGCAGTAGTACATCCTGTTTGCAGTTACTTGAGTCAAAGGTTTACAGCTGCTACCAGCAGTGATGGAAAACAGTCTGGCTGGTGATTTCTTCTGTTCGTGCGTTAAAATTTCCTATAAAATTAGGTCGTTCTTGTCACGGAATTGATCTGTGTGCTCTTCTTGTAAATTTCACTTCTGCTCTTCTGCTTCCACCATCTTTGTTATATAATACAAATGGTGGCATACCAGCTCTTAGAAATTAATTCTGTTTAAGCATACTCATTAATGAGGTTGTTTGTTTTTTTGTTTTAGTATCCAGAAGCCATGAGTTGTTAACCCGTAGGCTCAGTATTATGGATATCGCAACCTTTCGGCCTTGATTACATTGTAAATACCGTCAATCTGGGAGAAAATGTGGCTTTTCTGCCACAAGGAGCTTGTCACCCGCTCACCGCGCAATCCGGTTTAGCCAACTAAGAACCAATTACCTATGCCTGTAGGACCCTTCAGGCATATAGGGCATGTCGGGCTAGACCCGTATTTTATAGACCAATCGACACTTGGTAGGTGATGTGGTTAGCATCACTCCGGCCGCCTTTACTTCCCAGGACTCCGTCTGGTAGCCATTCAATGCTAGGTCGACCTAGAAGCCAATGTCATTGAAAAATGTCTGGTACTGTCAAGTGTTTGAACCCACGACCGTCCGATCCGCAAGCGAGCGTCTAGCCGCTACACCACGGCGAGTCACCAGTCTTAAATGGGTACCAGGGACAATCTTATGAAGTAAAGGTGGCCGCTGTGATGTTGACCACATTGAGCCGATTAGTCTATAAAACAAACGTATCACCCTATGTGCCCAGTAAGGCTAAAGGGGTGAAGAATGGTCCTCTTTTTACAAATGTTAAAATCTCTATTGTCGTTAACACGTCAGCAACTCTGACGCCCGCATGCAAGTCTTCAGTCTTCAGAAAACACGAGATGTTGCTTTTAGGAAGATCGGGTTTCGCTGCTGGGTAATTAATGCCATCTTGGACACCTGCTGGATGAAGGCGATGGGCGTGGTCGTGTATTGATCGAACCTGCTCTGTAACTGTTTCTGAATCCCAAAACACAGTCGAGACGGTATTAAAATTTGTAGAACAGCAGTGCTCAAAATCTGGCCAAATGCGGAACATTTAAGAGAACTATTCGATTATAATCTTGACTGACTGACTGACTTTCTACCCCACCAGGACATCACACAAGCGATAAACACCCGATGACACAAAGTGCCACCATGCGGATGAGGATCGCCGTGGAGAGGTCCCAGAAACCGCGTTCAGACATTTGGCCACATTCATGGCCTGCCTATATTGCGGCCCCTGGCAAAAGCCAGGGTGGGGTTTCAAATAACAAAAAATTTCGTCCTAAAAAGGACGAAACTGAATAGTCTTCTCAAATTATAATCTTTAGCAAGGAAACAAAACTTACTAAGCTTGGGGGGAAATAATACCATAGTCACAAATGGTTAATATACACGACAACACGAGCAAAAAAGAAAGCAAAATTGAAATAAGTTACGTATTAAAATGCCCAAAAAGTACCGGATGTTGCAACTTAATCTAAACATACAGGCACATGGAAAACCAACGTTAGTCTATGAATATGTTAGGTAATATAATGTTGAGTATTTGATCCTGACTGGAGGAGACGGCTTAAACCTGGGGGTGCAAAGGAGCGGATTCGAGTGCTTAGGTAAGATGACTAGTGCGGTTCTAATGCAGTCTACCAGGAAATGTTACACGCTCTCTAATAATGCTACAAGCCGCCCCCCCCCCCCCACCACCTCCCACGCAACTCAAACCAGCTACCTGGTTAAACCATCATTAAATTGTTACCAGGACCTGGGAAGTTAAGAAAGTGAAGTGCGTGACGTAGACCACATCACTGACTTAATGTCCACTGGTCTATACAAAAATGACTCTAGCATCATATGTCCCGTACACCACTGGCGTAAGAAAGGTTCCTTGTGTTTTCTTTTACAACATGCACGTGCACTCTGGTTCCGAGCGTTTTTTCGTGTTTTTTCCCCTCCCAGCGAAGGCTTGTCATTGGGCCTACAAACGCGGGAGTGATAAAGCAACAGAATGATCCAACAGCAAAATCGAAAACTTGGCTTGCCTTTAAATAAGTGACTACAGAGGCACGGAAG